TCAAAGCCTGTAATCCAGCACTTGGAAGGCCCGAACGGCGGATCACGAGGTCAGAGAATCGAGACCCATCCCTGGCTAACACTTGAAACCCGTCTCTAACCTAAAAATACAAAAAAACTAGCGGCGAGTGCGGGCGCCCTGTAATCCCAGCTACTCGTGAGGCCTGAGGCAGGAGAATGGCATAAACCTGGGAACAGAGCTTGCAGTGAGCTGAGATCTGGCCACCTGTACCTCCAGCCTGGGTGACAGAGCGAGAAACTCCGTCTCAAAAAAAAAAAAAAAAAAAAAATCCCTATGCATATCAATAATTATTTTTTCTTTTGAGACAAAAATCCTCGTTCTGTCCACCCAAGGCTGGAGTGCAGTGCAACTATCCTCAGCTCACTTCAAAGCCCTTGCCTTTCTGAATTCGCAATTCCGCCCTCAGCCCTCCTCAGTAAGCTGGAACTACAGGCACATGTCACCACACCCGTCTTTTATGTAATTTCTTCACTAGGTGGGTTTGCCATGTTGGCCCAGGCTAGGTCTACCGAACTCCTGACATCAGTTGATCCCCTGCCTCAGCCTCTCAAAGTGTGGTCGATTTATAGGGCATTACGCACCGCACCCGGCCCTATTAGCATTCAATGAATATAAACGATGTCTTGTACCCAATCCATTTATAGGGCATAAAATGCCCACAGTGAATAAAACACCAATAAGTAGTCTGCCCTAAGGTTTACAATCTAGGATAAGGTGGAGGGACAGCAATAATAAGTAATGAAACAAATGAATATATACATGTATTAAATTCCCATGAATGAGATGCGTAGAGAACCAGGGGAGTTACTAATTTAGATGGGGAATTTTGGGGTGGGCTGAAAGATCTTCTGAGGTGGAGAATGTAGTTGGAGACTGAAATGAATGAGTAGGCCCACGTCAACCTTTGTGGGGAGGAGAATACTACCAGCAGGAGGAAAGAGCAAAGTCCTCTAATGGAGCTAAATCCTTTCCCTGAACCAACACAGCTAGGAAAATTTGCTCAGCCGTTCATGGGAAGGTAAGTGAAGGGTATGCAGAGTGGGGCCTGGAGTGGCAAATCAGTGGAAAATTCTGCCTAGAATGAGAACTGGGGAAAAGTTCTGTCGCTTAGTAGGAGGCATTTTGAATTTGTTCTCAAGTTTGGATAGGAACAGTTGCCAAGGATAATGAATTCATACATTTATATTTTACATGGTTGCTAACGGCTGTATTGCGAAGGAGAAATGTTGAGGGACAATCCGTAATAGGCAAGGAAAGCAACAGAAGGAAGGCTAAACCATATGGAAGCCAGTTCAGATGAAAAAGGGGTCTGGGATTGGATGGAGCAATGAGGAAAGAGGTGTTGGATTTGGAATCTATTCAAGAAACACAGTAAATTTGCTGATAGGTTTGGAGTGGAAAAAGAAAGAGAATAAAAGATGTCTGCAGACTTTTTGGCCTAGCTCTGGTTGACTGAGAGATGGGGAAACCGTGGTGAGGAGAAGATCAGGAGAGGGGTTGGGAATTCAGAATTTTTTTGAATATGTTAAAAGTTCGAGATACTTACAATTAAGCTAAGTCAGGATCCATGTGGCAGTTGGATATGTAAATCTAAAAGTTCAGAGAGAGAGGTAAGAGTCCGGCTGTGAAATCTGGACTCGGCCTATAGACAACGATTACAGGTTGAGATTGGTTATATCCCCCTCTACTTTAAATGCTAAAAACAATATTTTTCGCTCCATATTTAAGCAGTCCAATGTTTGCACATTAGTAACTATGTACATTAACATAACATCCAAGTCTGCCTAACTAGACTTCACCACATTTCTCCAAATTATTTTTAGATTTATTTTGTAATTTCTCTTAATTTAAATTAATTTATTTCTTCCAGAGCGTGCGTCTTTCAAATGAGCCTGACACAGAAAGAGTAATTTTGGAAATCAAATTAAGACCATTCTTTGTCAACAAATATAAAAATAAGAACGTAGTCAACAAGGGTAAGCTCTTTGTACATATTACGTTCTTTGATTATAATGGTGCTTTATTTACTTTATTGATGTGTGTCTTAAAGTTCTTGGATAATTTGATGTCTCCTGTCAAAGCATTTCCATGAACCTATAGAAAAAGAATTTGATAAGAAGAGATGTAAATATCAGAAGGACAATTTATACCATCACAAATAGGAATATATTTTTATGTTAGAGTGTTAGTGTTTTTTCTTTTAGAAACAAAATCTCTGAGGTTTTCCTTCAGCCAATACTGAGATTTCATTGTTTTTTTTTAAAAGTAAGTATGACCAGCCTTGCTTATAGAACCTTACCTACAGGTTAGAAAATTTAGGAATCTGGCCGAGTGAGACGCTAGTGGCTCACCGCCTTGTAATCCCAGCCTTTGGGAGGCAGAGGTGGGTAGATAACTAAGGTCAGGAGTTTCGAGACCAGCCTCTCCACCATGGCAAACAACCCTCATCCACCAAAAGTAAACAAAATTAGCCCTGGTGTGGTGCGGCATGGCCTTGTAATCCCGCTACTCCGGGAGCTTGATGGCAGAAGAGATCGCTTGATACCGGAGGCAGAGGTGCAGTGAGCTGAATCATGCCCTGCACTCAGCCTAGCAAAAGAGTGTGAGACACTGTCTCAAAAAAAAGAAAAAAAAAAATTCGTGAACTGGTGACTAGAGATCAGCATTATTCAGTTCTCAGAGATTTCGAACATTCGTGTTGCCTTAGTTTTCCTTTCTCTGGGCTATGCCAAGACAATCATTCCATTGCAATGTTGCTCATCACCTTCTTAAACTGAGATTCTGTGACTCCAATCACCCCGTTATGTATAATTTCTATGTGCGTCATAA